GAAGCCCCGCCCATTCTTCAGGTGAAGTAGGAGGTCGGGCCTGCTGTGCTGACGTCACATCCTTGTTATGAAACACCGCAATGAGACACGGCAGCCCTCAGGGCACCATGCTGACTCTGAACGTCTCTGGTGACTGTTGTCCATGTGTCCAAACACCCGAGTTGTCTCATGTCTCTGCCACAAGGACACATAATCATCTTCACCTGTGTCCCACTGTAGCCGGTCATCAGGTAGCTCAGGAGTTAGAGCAGGTTGTCAGCTGAAGGGTTGTAGGATCGACTCCAGCTCCCTGCAGGAAAGTCTGCTGTTGTGTCCTTGGGCAAGACCCATCCACCTGCAGGTGGTGGTGCCTGTGTACCTCTGTCAGGGTGCTATGGCACTGTAGGTCATCGCTGTCAGTGTGTACATGAATACGATAGTTGAACAGGTATGGACACATACGCAGGGACAGGACTGTGTTGGGACGTTTCAGGGTTTTGGTTAAAGAGACACTTTCCTAGTTTTTCACATTTGTAATCAATGTTCCTGAGCCAGCGTGTGCTAAAATGACCCTTACAGGGTTAATGAAAGGCCACCCAGCCCCTATCGCTCCCTGTGGCCAGAATATTACACTTGCAACTTCAGAGTTGCCGGTTTCATCTGTTGGACTTGTAAAATAAATGGAGCTGACATACCTGGCACTGCAGTCTGGCTCCAGCAGGCTTCCTGCATGTTCGAGATCACGAGCAGGGGCGTCTCACGCAAGGAGGATGTGGGTGCTTTATTTTATTTCTAAGGTTTGGATGTCTGTGAACATTACTGAATGTTCTGATTGGTGTAAATAATACACAATATTATTAATAATAAGTCTGGATGTGGTTCGGTCTAAGGTCTAAAAACTCTAGAACTACTTTTTTTCTCTAAATGCACCAGACTGATGCTTTTAAATATAAAACGTTCTTCGGGGGGGCATGCCTCCGGCAGCCTGGCCTGCCAGACTCATCCTCTGTTTAATTCTGCACAGAGAAAGTCTGGTTGCTCGCAAGCAGAGCGGCACATGAGGGGCGGGACTAGGCAGGTCAAAAATAACCAATCAGAAAAAAGACTGAAATGCCGACTGTACCGCGCGACGCTGTACTTTTATAGCTGTAGTAAAAAGAATATAAAGAATATATATAAAGAATTTATATTCTCTTACCTCTGTCTTCTTGTGTTGGTTCTGTATGTCGTGGGTCAAACATTTACAACCCAACATGACGGAGTGGCGAAGAAGAGATGGAGGAAAAATAAGATAACAATACATCAGATATATTCAGAACTACTAAAAACATACAATAATGCAGTAAGAAATTCAAGAAATGTATTATCTTCCAAAATAACCCTAAAATTATTTTCTCCACAATCAATCATATTTTTAACTGCGACTCAAATTCAACTCAGAAAACCCCCCAAACACCCTCTGTGAGGAGTTTGCAGCCCACTTCAGAGGGAAGGTAGGCACCATCAGATGTAATGTTTTATCCTCTCAACGTAACGTGTTTTAGACACCTGAGAGTGTGTGTCTACCTGAGGAAACGCTGGACAATTTTGTTCTGGTTGAAGCTGAGTCTTGATAAGGAATTTATTTATTTTTCCTCAGTGAGGCCCACCACATGTGTCCTGGACCCTATTGCCACTTGTTTTTTTTTTAAAGCAACTGATTGATTATTTTAGAGATGAGGTTTTAACTGTGATGAATTGCTCCCTTCAGACGGGGGTCTTTCCTGCTGCTTTTAAACAGGCGGTGGTGAGGCCCCTGCTGAAGAAGAGCAATTTAGATTTTAATGACTTAAACAACTTCTGACCGGTGTCCAACTTACCATTTTTAAGCAAAATTTTAGAAAAACTTGTTTTAATTCAACTTAATGATTTTATCAACACTCATAATGTCCTAGAGAAATTTCAGTCTGGTTTTAGGGTGAACCACAGCAACGAGACGGCCCTTCTGAAGATTTTAAATGATTTTTAGATTGAACTATGATAAACAGAGGGTGACAGTACTGGTTCTACTGGATCTAAGCACAGTAGACCAGTAGACCACACTATTCTTCCATCCCATTTAAAACAGGCTGCCCTCTCTAGTGCTGTTCATAGATGGTTCACTTCCTACCTCACAGACAGGACTTGTATGGTGAGTTTGGATACCTGTTCCTCTAGGGTCCACTGCATCACATGCGGTGTGCCTCAGGGTTCAGTTTTAGGCCCAGTACTTTTTAACCTCTATATGCTCCCTCTTGGCGGCGTCATTAGGAGACATAGGGTGAATTTCCACAGTTATGCTGATGATGCACAGTTGTACATCTCTGTGTCTCCTGATGACTCTCGGCCAATGGATGCACTTTTTAACTGCATTTTAGACATTAAATCCTGGATGGCAGAGAACTTTCTCCAGCTCAACCAGGACAAAACTGAAGTTTTAGTCATTGGTCCTGAGGCCCAGAGAGAAACCTTTACCAAAACTACAGTCAATGTCTTTTAATCC